TGTTTATTTTGTTTATTTAATTCTGAAGGCCGGGCCAGTTTCCCGCACAATTAAAATCTATTTTGTTTATTTTGTTTATTGTGTTTATTTTGTTTATTTAATTAAATCAGCCGAAAATAGTTAAATAATCAAAACTGGGTTTGCCGATTTTGTTTATTTAGTTTATTGAGTTTGTTTAATTAAATAAACAAAATAAGCAAAATAAACAACATAAACAAAAAATAAATTCAATTGCCCGGGAAACTGGCCCGGCCTTCAAAATTAAATAAACAAAATAAGCAAAATAATCAATATCTGCAAAAACCGGTTTGATTATTTTGTTTATTTTGTTTTTTTATTTCTGCAGGCCGGGCCAGTTTTCCGCACAATTAAACTTATCTTGTTTATTTTGTTTATTTAATTCAATCAGCAGAAACCAATTAAATAATCAAAACTGGGTTTGCCGATTTTGTTTATTTAGTTTATTGAGTTTATTTAATTAAATAAACAAAATAAGCAAAATAAACAAAAATACAAAACAACAAAATAAATTCAATTGCCCGGGAAACTGGCCCGGCCTTCAGAATTCAATAAACCGACAGCCGCAGAACGAAATGCGGCCAATACTCATACAGCAACAGAATCCGAATCCAAATTCTCCCGCTCCCAAGGCGAATATGCAGATGCCAGTGGGCCTGATTGTTGTTCTGGGATCGCCCCCAGCACAGGCACCTCTTGAACCATCGAGGAAAAAGCGAAACAAGGATGACAGCGCTGCGCCTGCTTCTGTTCTGATGCCACAAGCTGGGTCCCAGCAAGACTCGATTGCCTGGGACGCAGAAACTGAAATATGCAAGTTTGAAGCTCTGAAGACATTCTGTCAATTGAGACTGGTGTTGTGAGCACAAGTCGCCGCATTGCTTCCTAAATCTTCCCGAGTCTTCGTCAATCTCAGGCAGCCCGAACGTGCCCGACATCAAGCCTGCGTCTTCGTACAGACAGAACCCGAATCACGGGGCCAATTTTCTGCTCTCGCCAGCGATACCAGCTGCGCGTCGTTGCGCAAGATGCTGTCACGGGCATGTCGCCATGCATCATCGAAGCACCCGTCTTCCAGGCGCTCCCGCAGAGTCTGCCTGGCGTCGGCGACTTTGGGGCATTGATGTGTAAAGGTTGGATGGAAGCTAGGAATCATGGCAGGTGAAATCCCTGAAAACCGAGATCCATGCCGCCGCGCTGCACAGCTTTTTCATCCAGTTCGGCATCCGTGGCAAGCAAGGCCTCTGCAGCATGAGGCTGACTTCACGTTAGCTCAACCATCTGTGCACAAGCACCCATGCCACGCTTTGACTGGCTGTTGCGTTTTCAGTTGTCCGATGTGAGATACCCTGCGAGCTGAGAAAACGTGTAAATGGGTAGCTCTCTAAACTAGGGTCCCTTTTAGGGTCCTTTTTATAAGCGTGCCGTAGTATATTGGGGACCTAACAAGGGGACCCCAATTTAGAGAACTACCCAAATAGGCCAGAAGCCTGCAGCACCGCGCATCGGACTGCTTTGTGATCATCTTCCAGGCTGTCAGCCCTGACAAAATTGGGCTTAGGGTTTAGGTTTTAGGGTTCAGGGATCTCTAAACCCAGAGCCCGGTAATCCTTTAGTTAACCCAAATGCATTCGGAACACAACGGTAAACATCAGGGCCCAAATGCGACATGTCTACCCTAGGGTACATCTTTGCAAGCTTTACCCTGGGCTCGATCCGATCCTTCACAGGCTTGGCTTCTACTTCGGCGAGTTCAACGGATTCGAGGCTTAGTTTTGTTTTGAGGCGGCTTGGGGATGACAGTTTACCTTAATCCCAAATTTAAAGGATGTAGCAACATCAAGGAACCATAACAAGGTAGGCTTCTTGGGTCCAGGTAGGCTCTGGCATGTTTAACATAGTTGTGAGTCACATTGAGCTAATGATCTTAGATGAGGCTTGTTTCCGGGTGCCTGAAGCGTAAAATGAAACTTTGCAAGTCAAGCTGGTGGTACGAATCCATCCGGTGGTTTCGGGGACGACGTCATAGCATAACTTAGCAAAAGGACCTGAAAGGCATAATATCGGGTACTTACTTAGGCTGGTAAATTGGACGTGGGTTTAGGGTTTAGGTTAGGATTCAGGAGGACGGCCTCTCGTCCCAATCCTGTACAGCTCACGGATGCAAGCCAGCGGCAGTTTTCTCATAGTCTGGCGGTCTGCATGTGACATTATCGCGGCAATGGCATGGGCCGCCGAAACGCGGATGTCGATGTGGACGTCGTGTAGGCGCGGCATCCTTACTGGAATGTTCACTAAGGCGACGGCCTAGGGGGAAAGAGGTTTAGGCTTTATCTAATCTAGGTTTGGGCTTCGGGTTTAGCGGTTTGGGGTTTGGAATTCGGGGTTTATAGGATTTAGGTGATTTGGGGTTTGGAGGTGGGGCAATGCAAGCCTTTTCCAAACGGGTGGACTGCCCTGCCGACGAGCAGGTCTAGGGTGTAGGAATTTAGGGTCCTCGGAGCGGATCTTTAGAGGAACTGAGCCGTGCTTTTGGATTTGTGGTTTTGGTTTCGGGGTTTAGGGCTTCAGCGAATTGGCAGAGTCTGGATTCAAAAAACGGTCTAGGGGGGCAAGCAGGGCCGGCAACAGCTTATTTGTCACAGTCCGCGTTAAACTTAGTTGCTGTATATCTGCAGATGCAGCCTACGACTCTGCACCCCTGCATAGGCCCGAAGCATCTGGGCTCGCATGGTTCCACATGGCAAGCGCCTTCTGCTTGCGAGGCTCAATGCATCCAGTGATGATGTGTCGCCTGAGCCAAGTCAGTCAAACCGTGTTCAACCACCCTCTCTCTCTGCCGTGCAACCACCCTTTCTCTTCTCGCGAAGCTTATTGCAGTATGATCGAATTTCTGAATCTGTGCTCTGCGAATTCCAAAAGTGGCACCAGTGCCCGACAGTGCCTTGTGGCGCAAGGCAGGGCAAGAGGCTTGTGGCGCTGTGCCTCACATGACCTGCCCCACATGGTCGGGTTCGGGATATCCACATGGAGCAAGGAACTTTAGTGCAGTTAAAGGTTGGGGTCTTAGGGTTTAGGGGTTTAGGGTTATAGGAAGTTTTAGGCTCCCTGTCTCGTATTCTCGGCCGCTGTCACCTTCCGGGCTGGAAAGGCGCCCAATCATGACATCGAGGACGACTCTGCTTCCACTGCCTGGCGCATCGCTCACTTCCACGGAACCTCAAACCCATCGACCCTAACCAACCAAGAACGACCCCGCACGTACATCTAATCTAGTGGAGCCCATATGGTCCTGAATAGTGGGTAGCTGCTGTATGACAGCAAAGGGGGAGATTAGCTAGTGCAGGGGCCTAAATAATTACCAATACTATTTTGGGTGCTCCTTACTCTCATTATCGTAGATTGGGCCCCAAAACTTTATCCTAATGATTATGGCCCCTGAACCACAAACCCTTATAGTAGCCCTTACAGCACCCTTGAAAGGAACCCTAAAACCCTATTCTAACTATTAATGCCCCTCTACTTACTAACCCTAAAAACCCTAAAACCTAAACCCCGAAACCCTAAACCCCTAAACTATAAAACCCTAAGCCCCAAAACCCTATTCTAATTATTAAGGCCCCTATAAATTATAAGCTTTCGACTCGGGACCTGGCGCAGCAAGCCGGGGCAAGCAACGCAAGGCTGTGGCCTCAGGGCCACAGTTCTGGCTTTCTGGCCGTGCTGTCAGGGTTCTTTAGGGTTTAGGGTTTAGGGTTTATTTTTCCCTCTCGCATGGCAGAGATCTGTTAGGGTTTAGGGTTTAGGGTTTAGAGTGTCTCAGAATGTTGGTATACAGCCGGTGACTCTGCAAATGCAAGACTTCAAACGAACAGAACAGAACACGACAGAGTTCGGAAGGCTACTAAAATCAAATGAACGCTTGCCAACAGGCAAGTCGATAGATAAGTGGATGGGAATCGTCGCTATGATAGCGGTGTAGGTGTGTATATGTATATATGTATATATGTATACACATACACACATACATACA